CCCCCCCCCCCCCCGAAAAAAAAAAAGGAAGGCGGGGAAAAAACCCAACACATCTGCAGCTTTGGTGCATGATGCATCTCCACCCCAGATCCATGCTAGCTATCGCTCGGAGGGACCTTCTCAAGAGCTTTCTATTTATATATATTCATATATATATATATGTATGTATGTATGTGTGTATAAAAAAAAGCAGTCTAAAGAAGTCTGGGGTCGTGCGTGTGTGTGTGTGTGTGTGCGTGCGTGCCGGTCCCCCCTGCCCTGCTCATCCCTTCTCGCCCCTGCCTCTGCCCCTGGCCCTTACTGCGGCGCCCCTCACTGCACGCTGGTCTGCAGTCCGTGGTGGGGCGGCGGCGTGTCGGAGTTCACGTTGCCGACCTGCGAGTAGACATCGTCCGGCGCCTGCTGCTGGATCCCCGGGGGGGTCATCCTTTTCTCTTTCTGCCTCCGATTGCAAAACCAAACCCTGACCACCTCCTTCTCCAGCTGCAGGCTGTCCGCTAGGTTCGTAATCTCCTGGGCGGAGGGCTTGGGGCATTTCAGAAAGTGACTCTCCAAGGCCCCTTTGACACTCACCTCGATGGAGGTCCGCTTCTTCCTCTTCCTGCCCTGGGCCGCGATCTTGTCGATGCTGGTGGGGCTGCCCGTGGAGGAGTCGGCTTCCTCCAGCCACTTGTTCAACAAAGGCTTGAGCTTGCACATGTTCTTGAAGCTGAGCTGCAGAGCCTCAAACCTGCAGATGGTGGTCTGGGAGAAGACGTTCCCGTAGAGGGTGCCCAGGGCCAAGCCCACATCTGCCTGCGTGAAGCCCAGCTTTATCCGGCGCTGCTTGAACTGCTTGGCGAACTGCTCCAGGTCGTCCGAGGTCGGCGTGTCCTCGTCCGAGTGCGGGTCGTGGCTGTTGACGCCGCCGTGGTGCTGCTGCTGGTGGTGCGGGTGGTGCTGGTGGTGGTGGTGGTGGTGGCCCGGGTGCTCGCCCAGCTCCGGCGTGTCCCCCCGCACCAGCCCCGGGTGCACCAGGCTCTGGCCGCCGGGCGGGGGGCTCAGCATGCCGTTCACCGTGAAGCCCCCCGGCCGCGAGGAGA